GCTGCTGTTGCTGCTGCTGCTGTTGCTGCTGCTGCTGTTGCTGCTGCTGCTGCTGCTGCTGCTGCTGCTCCCGATACAATGGTCTTCCACGGTAGTAGCCTGGGTTCTTGCTGTTGTTGCTGCTGTAATCTGTGAAGTTGCTGCTGCTGTTCTTTTCTTCTGTATTCTTTTGCTGCTGCTGTTTCCTTTGCTGCTGCTGCTGCTGCAGCAGAAGGCCAGTCGCTGGGGCCCCCCACGCCTCACCTAGGGTACTACTAAGGGGCCCCCTTAAACTGTTGAGAAAAGCAATTGAAGCAGCAAATATAATTAAATAAAATAAAATTAAAATATTAATTCATTTTTATATTTATTTTATCAGCAAAAAGAAAGTAAACACCGCCGCAGCTGGGCCCTGAGGGCCCCACCGGTGGTGTCGCCTGCAGACGGGGGCCCCCCCCCCAAACATATACGAAAGCAGCACATAAAGTAAATAAATATTTAATTATTTAATTATTTAATTTTTATTTTTATTTTATTAAAAAGTAGATTACCAACAAGCATCGGATAAAACAGAAAGGCGGCAGCAAAGCAGCAGCAGCAGCAGCAGCAGCAGCAGCAGCACTTCATCAGCAAGATCTGCTGCTGCTGAGGTGTATGTACACCCAACGAGGTGTATATACACCTCAGATTTATCTGGGGTGTATATACACCTCAACAAAACCCAGGTGGTGTCGTTGAGCCCCCACGTGCTGCAGCGGCCCCCTGGCTGCTTCCGTTGTAGCAGCAGCAACAGCAGCAGCAACAGCAGCAACAACAGCAGCAGCAGCAGCAGCAGAAGCAACATCAATCGCAACAGCAACAGCAGCAGCAACACCAGCAGCAGCGCCAACTGTCTGCTGCTGCCTAGCACTGCTAGCCCCCCTTGCTTGTGTGTCAAACGTCACAGTGAGCAGCAGCAGCAGCAGCAGCTGGTGCTGCTGCTGCTGCTTCTTCAGCTGCTGCAGTTGCTGCTGCTGCTTCAGCTGCTGCAGCTGCTGCGGCTGCTGCATCTCCAGTTGCAGCAGCAGCAGCAGCGGCTGCTAGCAGCCCCCAGCAGCAGCAGCTGCTGCATGAGCTGCTGCTGTCAGCTTTGGCTGCTTTACCTGTATCTGCTGCAGCAGAAGTTGCTAGCAGCTGCATCTGCTGCTGCAGCAGCAGCTGCAGCAGCAGCTGCAGCAGCAGCAGCAGCTGCTGCTGCTGCAGCGGTTGTGTTAGCAGCAGATGTTTGGGGGCAGCAACTGGAGCGGCTGGGGGGATTAC